AAAATTTATAATGCTGCAAGTTGTGGCATGTTGGTTGGCGGGGTTCGGTCCCCAGTGGCGCTGGGTTCTCGAATATTTAAGCACATGGCGCAGGCTCTCATCATGGGGCCTAGCACATGGGAAATTGACATTTGGGTCTGTCAGTTTGTCAAATAACGATTTCCTTTCTAATATATATATATATATTAAAAAAAGCTCAAGACAAATTTATTGAAAAGAAAAGTGTACAGATAGGTTGTATGAGTGACCCCAAATAGGCACCCAACCCATATGATACAACAAACACAAAAGAAAAAGAAAAGAACTTAAAACCCAAAAGTAGATGGTACATATAAGATCAACCAGGTCGACCCGCTTTAGTTCTGCCTCTGCCTCTAGTTCTTGAAAACAAACCAGCTAACAGATTGTTGAGGTGTGTACCATTGCCCGAAGTAACCAGAGTACCATTCACATTCATTAGATTCCTTAACTATAAAAATAAGATGAATGATTAATAAAAAGTTCATCTTCTTCTTCCTCCTATTCTTCCTCCTAGAAGTGTAGACCTGTCATTGATAATCCGAAGATTGTTGCTCATTCGGATGAGATGGTAGTGTTGCAGTAGAAAAATTGCCAACTGTTGTGCCCACAAGTGTATGTGAGGTAAGAGTTTTCGCCTCTACCCCTAATACTTCCTGAAGATTAGGAGCTGCAAGGTTCTCCTGATTATCAGTCCGTGTAGGCAGGGGTCCTTCATTTTTAATTTCAATAGGGTTTGAAAGTGTAGGTTACTCAGCAGGGTCATCCAGCTTCTCATCGATCGCAGAAAATGTATTTCAATAGGAAGGGTCCATAGGAGCAATAGAATCAGACACCAAATCCTGTCCTTTTATAGTTTTCTCTCCAGGTGGAACATATATATCCTTAGATCCATCCTTATTCACTTGATCTTTAGATTTTAAATTAGGATGAAGCTTATGGAACTTATCAAGATTATGCCCAAACATCTTACAATGAGAACAATAAAAAAGTTTATGCTCCATGACGATTTGTTGTCAATATCCATTATGCGTTGTGTCCAACCAGACTTCAGTAACATCAGGCAAAGTAATGTCTTTTTCTATAAGTATTCTGGCCACAGAAGGTCTGATAAGGTTGAAAGTGGGTAGATCTAGCTTCATAGGGTCCTCAAGTATGTCACCAACAGAGTAAAGAATCTGATGATAAAAAAAAGTGCAGCTTAAGACCAGGTAGACTAAACCATACCGGTACAGTAGGAGGTTCATGATTGGGATCAAAACCAGGAGACCACTTGAGTAGCTTCATTGGTTTGTCAGCAATGTTAAGATATTTTCTGAAAAAAATTCGAGTGCAGTCTTCAAGCACAGTTAACTGAATCAAAACATGTCTCCCATCCATGAGCCTCACTATCCACTTTCCTGTTAGTTTAAGGTCATCAAAATTTTCCTGATAACTTCCATAGGTAAGTGTCCCCACTGAAATTTCCTAATAAGATCAAACTTGAATTTGTTGATAAGAGCAAACTTGAATTCGTCAATCAGGGTTGAAATTTCTGACTCAGAGAAAAAGAGTGTTGTATTCCCACTTTTCATGTTTGCATTCTTAATCAAGGGGCAATCACACTTACCGTCATGATTCTCCTTACAACTTGAAGGGAAGACAACTGTCGTCTCCCACTGAGGATTACCCACCATGTGGGCAAAGGAGGTTTTTCCAGGTTCAACCGAAGAAGAAGAAAGTTTCATCAAAGGAGAAACGATGCAAGTTGGGCAAAGGGCAGAAAAAACAAGCCAAAGAGGTCGGAGCAAAGCTGCGCAAAAGACAGCAAACCACAATGATGAATACGCAGAGACGAAGTCGCAACTCGACAGACAAACCGTAGCTTGACGAGGTAGAGACGAAACTGCAGCAGGAAGATGAAACCGCAGCTCGACAGACACGAAACTACACCAGGAAAATGCTGAAGCCCTTTGTCGTTGGGCATGAAAGAGAAGAGGACGATCGCAAAGGAAATTGACGAGTGCAAAGTCCTTCTTAGTCATCATCGAATACGAGAACTTCGTCGTCGAGCACGAGACGGTGGATTAAAGGCCGAATCAAACCAGGGTTTCTCCATCGGGCGAAACCCTAGCAGAGTAGAACGCCACTGACGCCATTATATATATTTTTCTGAAAAAGCTCAAGCGCTAATTTATTAAAACGGAAAAGATACAGAAAGGTTCTATGAGAGAGCTTAAGAGAAAACTCAACTCACACAGTATAACACACACAAACACAAATAAAGCAAGGATGCATAAATATAAAAAACCAAAAACCCACCAAAGGGCACAAAAGTGTTAGGGACGTCCCACTTTAGTCTTCCCTCT